AGGTCGTACTCTGTGTGTTCTTCGGTCCTGTCACTACCAAAGGAAGAACATAACACACTGTAATGTGAGGAGATACTGAGGGAAATGCTGTCCTCAACTGAGGCCAGCGCATGATTGCACTGATGAGACTGAGCCTAACACTTTCTGCCTTGCTATCCATCCTCCAAGATCTGTCCAGCTTCTGCTGTCTCTTTGCTAACCCTTTTTAAAGATTCACATGAAGGCACCCTGTGCATGTATGGCTGTGTGAGCATTTTTGTGGCCTGTGTGTGTGTGTGTGTGTGTGTGTGTGTGTGTGTGTGTGTGAAGGCAATGGCCAGACATGCTGTGTGTCTAGCTAAGAAAGAGAACATTAATAAACCCAGGGAGATGATTCTATAACCATCAGGGATGTGTCTTCAAATAAAATCAGGAGTGAGGCTAAGATTACTCCCAGGAAAACTGGAGTTTGAAACTCCCGGAGGTCCCACGCTTGGTCAGGGCTTCTCCATGAATCACCAGAGGCCCCACCAAAATTGCACCACCAAACCCTGACTTTAATCAAAAGCCTGAGTCATCAGCTAAGTATCACTCTCTGAAAGTTCAGCAAACTGGCAGACAAGTGGCCCCGCTGCTGGCCACTTGCTGATGCGGATGTGCATGAGGCCTCCAGTCAGCCTCCTGTGCTTCCAGCTAAGCTGAAGGGAGATGGCTGCAGTGTAGACCAGGAGGTCTGGAGGTACACTGACTGGAGACTGCCAGTATATGAATGGCCCAGAAACTGAATTCCCAGGACACCTGCTGAAGTGAGGGAGGCCTGAGACATTTGAGCTCAAATATACCCAGGCCTTCTTTAGTAAGGTATCATCAGGTAACAGATACTGTATGTCACCCTAAAGGGTGTGGCACAGCCTGAAAATAGAAATAATTCTAGAGTAGGTTATTTCAGGATGAGAACTATAGGGGGACATGATGTTAAAAGGAGCATTAGCCAGGGGGTGGTGGCACACACCTTTAATCACAGAACTCGGGAGGCAGAGGCAGGCGGATCTCTGTGAGTTCGAGGCCAACCTGATCTACAGAGGGAGTTCTAGGACAGTCAGGGCTGTTACACAGAGAAAGCCTGTCTTTTAAAAAAAGAAAAAGAGGCATTGGGGAATATTACATTCCTTTTCGCTTCTTAGAGGGCAGTGCACAGTGAAGGGCTTAAAGCACTGTTAATTCAGAAACTTAAATACAACCTTGCTCAGATGTATATCTGGGGCAAACAAGATGGCTCAGCAGGTAAAGGCACTTCCCACTAAGCCCATTTGATCCCAGAACCAGCCTGCATGTAAAATGAGTAACTATAATTTAAAAATTGTCAAGGTACACATGCCTGTAGAAAACACAGGTAAATGAAGCTAAATCTCACGAAGTCATGAAGCCTGTGACAGGAGCACATAGGGAAACAGTGGTTGAAATGTGACCACTGACCACACAGCATGATTGGGAGGGCACAAATGAGTCAGGAGGGGCGTGGCTCATCCAACAGCTCCTCCAGGGAGGATGGTCAGTGCCTGCTCCCAAAATGCAGCTTCAACATGCTGGCTAGAAGCTGAGTGATTCCTGGGTCCAGAGTTCTGGAATAGGGCCCATATGCAGTCCTTTAAGAACAGGCTACAGAGCACTTGCACTCTGTGTTCTGACACAGCTCACATAGCACCCTGTCTTCTGTTTCAGCACACTGCTGCTGGAGCTGAGGGTGGAGGTCAGTCCCTAGTCTCCCCTGGCTCCTGCCTCGAGGACTTTCGGGCTACCCCTTTCATTGAGTGCAGCGGCGCCCGTGGTACCTGCCACTATTTTGCCAACAAGTACAGTTTCTGGCTGACGACTGTGGAGGAGAGACGGCAATTTCGGGAAGAGCCTGTTTCTGAGACACTGAAAACTGGGCAGCTCCACACCAGGGTCCCCAGCTGCCAGGTGTGTATGAAAAATCTGTAGGGGCTGCCAGTCATGTAGCCCCTGCCCTCCCTAACCCCTCACAACAGTCACCTCACAAATTTGTGCTGTCTGAGAAAAGGAAGGCCTGAACCCATCTGCCTGTCAAATCGTCCATCCGAGTCTCATTTGGACTGGACTACTTACTGGACATTAGTTCATCCCAACCCTCAGGCCCAACAGATGAGTCCACTGTGCTAGGATTTGCTGTTCTGTGTCCATCAATCTGGTGCTAATGTTCCATTTGGATATGTGTGTGATTATTCATGGCTACCTCAGAAAGGTGTACTGAACAACCATTTTCTAAGACTGCTAGAGCTCTCCTCAACGCCTTGACCAGGAAGCTCCTTACAGCAGCTAAGTTATTTCTTTATGATGAAATGTCACCACACATTATTTGACTTAAACTAGAACTCGGGGTTTCTGCCCTAAAAGTATGGCTCTGGCTGAACATCACAGACAGCTCAAGTCTGCCTAGGGCTAGGCCTCCCTCAAGGCAGCCTATTGTATCTAGGCAGGCAGTAAGATTGGAATGAAGAGCCAGCCTATAGCCAGAACTGAGCTGTGATTCCTTCTAGAGTTTGTTAAGTCTATGCCCCATCTTGACTAAGAAAGGATGAAAGGCTAGCATTTGTTCCTAGAAGGATCACTGCCTCCTGGCTGGCTCTCTCCATAGCCAGAGAGACGGACAACTTGCTCTGGTCCAAAGTAGAACAAAGGATGCAGTAAATGTGACCAAGTTCACAAAAGGAAACGAGAACCACTTCTCTTTCTTCTCAGCCTAGAGCAAGGGACGAATAGATATGGAGCTGTCAGTTTTGTTTTGACTCCAGAAACAAAAAGGTAAATCTTATGTCCTCATTTCTCAGAAACCCCTGATTACTCCAAATGTCACCCAGATCTGTGCAGGGTGGCAAACTGAAGCTGCAGTATGTTGACTCCTTGCATTATGAGGCTATTTGAGACTTTCTGATAAAATGGCCATCCAACTACTCTTTCATGGGTAGCCCTTTAAACTACTTGAAAGTTGTTTTTCAAAATCTCATAAAAATCTAGCACATACCACTGTTAGCAGACCCAAGGCACAGTCTGAGTTGGCCATGAGGTATTTTGTTCTCTGTTTGAAGCAATTCATTTTAATTACCAGTTGCATAGAAACCACTCAGTTACGTGGACACGAAGCACTCCCTTCCGGGTGATTTCACTTCTTTAAGTACTATGTAAACTGTGCCCACACAGGCAAAGCATAAGCAGTATAATCTGAGCTGTCATCATCATCACCTCCTACATAAGGAAAGAATGGTGTTAGCTTTGTACATAGCAAATAAAATTAATGAAATGTGAACGTTTGACTTTTTGAGACTCTTTTAAAACCTTTTTCTAATATCTATTCTCACTAAACTTTATAACTAAACATTGAAACAGGGAAAATTAGAAAAGTATTAAGTCAAAGAGCTGAAGGCGTCTTCTCTGGGTCAACAAAACCAGAACATATTTTACAATAAGCATACAACTAATTTTATCTCTATCACATGCTAGAGTTCAAGAAAGGAGTTTTCATTCCTCAGTGGCCTCAGGTTCATTTGCAGATAAATTAAAAGTCAGGAAATATTGAAGTCAGTGAAATGAAATTGTGGCTGGAGAGATTGCTCTGCAGTTAAGAGTTCTTGCTGCTAAACACTGAGCTGAACTCTGGAATCCAGTTGCAGAGAAGGAGGAATGATGAACAAAAGGGTCAAGACCAGGCTGGAGAAACCCACAGAAACATCTGACCTGAACAATGAGTTGCTCA